GCCCCTCGCACTGCCAATCCAGATGTGCTGTCACTGCCTAGGACACATGTTTGTCTGCCTGGTGACACACCAGGACAGGTCAGATCATATGACATGCTTTCAGTCTCCCTGTCAGGCCTTTGTTTACCTTTCTCAGCAGGGAAGCTTACAGCTATCTGGCTGCTGAGGTCCATGTGTGAATTGCTTTCCAGTGCTGCCTTACACGTGGAACTATAAGTCCCAGCCGGCTGTCCAGTACCCTGCAAGGACAATGCCTGGACACTTATCAAGGTAGAATCCTCTGGGCCTAGGCAAGGAACCATCCAAACCATCCCTGTGCTCAGCCCCCAGAGATTGTACCTCTGCCCCCTTCACAGCACTGTGGTTGACCCCCAACAATGAAAATGCATCATTTGTATCTTCATGACCATCATCATCATTAGCATTATCAACATTATCTTCAACGTGATTGACATTGTCAATATCAGCATTCTCGTCATCATTATCATCACTATCATTGACCGTATCAACATTATCATCAACATTATCAATGTCAGCTTCATCATCATCATTATCAACAGGTACGTTTCTAATGTCTATGACACATGAGTTTGATACCTCCCCCTGCAAGGGGATTTCTTCTCGTTCTCCAGCTAATGAAGAATCTTGCCACCCCACTCCATTCCCAGCCCCCCCTCTGTCCATCCCCAGGTTGCCCAGACATTACCCCAACATCTGCAACCAGTACCTCGGCATGTCCAGAGAGTTCCAGGGGGGCCTTCCGGGTATTCTCGGCAGGGGCATAATAGGACACAAGAGTACCCAAATCGGCACCCAACAAAACAGGTGTGGGAATTTCATCTGAGACACCCACCTCCCTCATCCCCCTTCCCGCACCCCAATCGATGAATACCTTTGCACAGGGTATGCGTGCGGGTCCCCCCAACTCCCGTGAGGGTAAGGAACTTTCCTGGGATGAGGTTCCTTTGCTTAATCATCTCTGGCCGGATCAAGGTGACCTCGGCTCCGGTGTCCTGGAAACCAGTTACAGACTGGTTGCCCACAGTGACTGTCTGCAAGTTGGTGGGGGTTACCCGCATCTCTCTGCGGACAAACAGCACTCAAAAAGAGTTGCTGGCCGGCTGGCCAGATGATGTCGTCTACTTCTGCTCAGGACACTGCATCCTGAGAGCTTGGCGTTCCGCTCTCTCAGCCTGGCGTTCCACAGCTTCTCTGTCAGCCTGGCGTTCCATGAACCGCAGGTATGCCTCAAGATTTGTCTCCTTGCTGCGTTCCAGGGCTTCCTGCATCTGAGACGAGCCTCTGCTGGTTACCGGCACTCAGGTGCTGGCCCGCTCGGGCGGTGGTGTGATGATAACATTCGGTGATCCTCCAGTGTCAGTCTCTGTATGCCTATCCTGCGAGGCTGTCTCTGAGCCACTGGGATCAGATGTAGCGGGAACCCCGTCATGGTCAAGTTCCCCCGAGCTCTGCTCTGCTCGGATATCATCCTCCAATAGGTCCCGAAACAAATCTTCATGATTTTTGCAACCAATATCCAATCCCCGTGAGGTACATTCCGCCTTCAAATCATTTTTGCTCATTTTCTCGTATTCTGCTGCCCCAGGCATAATTGCAAGCAAAGATAGAATAGAAAGTAGAAAAAGAAAGGAGCTGTTGCTATATGTCTCGCTCTCTCTCTATATATATATATAAAAATATGCACCGCTTGTTTCTAAGGACTGTTTCCACAAAGATTACAATCCTTCAGTGCAGAGCCAATTTTTAACACTGCACTGCAGCTCTTAATGTAACTATCCCACCACTGCCACCAATATGTGAGGGGCGCAGCGTCAGACCCTAGTCCTTCTCGCCAAACTCGTGACCGAAGGACTAGCCAGTCTAAAACCGTGCTGTCACAGGCGTAACAATGCCACACCCAGCTGCACCCTGCACAACGATTTTCCAGATAATGGACCACAGATCGATGTACCGGCAGCCTGAATGCGCTTGTTACTGGGTCAGGTTAATTACGCAATTAACCCTTCACACTGCCACCAGCTCCTTTTTATACAGAGAAAGAGGAAACTCAGCACTACACTAGGATGATTGGTTAATCGACAGTATACCGCTATCGCTACAGACAGGTTATACAGAGTGTTAAACACTCATAGTAGCGTTCTTTTAGAGGCAGGAATTTGTAAATTGCAATACAAAGCTATAGAAACAGTTCAACACTTTCAGAAAGAAAGATTTAATACTAAAAGGTCAAACGGGTGCAATAAAAATATTTACAGAAACTATGATATACAGTATATATAAAAATATACAGAGCACAACAGCACAGCAAACAGATAACAGGAAGAAGTTTAGGTAAATAAGTACTTGCCAAATAAATGCCTGGAGTTAAGCAGTGTCGAGTCTGATGTGCTAGAAGGGATTTCTAGTCATGCGATGTAGTTGCGATGGTACAACAAGACTCTTGGTCAGCTATATGGTACCGAGCCGACCGTCCTCACTTCTCCCACCCTAAACACAACAAACACTTCTATTTATCCTACTCAAAATCTCTGCCCACAATGGACAAGCCAAGCCTTATTTGGCAAAGAATTGTTAGGCAGAGACTCAGCATCATACGCTGGTTGCATTCCTGAGGGGAATGAGGAGATACATGAAGCCTTCTCAATACAGTGAGCCTGTGCCTGGCTCTGTGTGCACCCCTCCCCCCTCAGGTGTTTGCATAGGAGTTTAAGAGAAATACCAAAATGCCGAAGTTTGGGGTAAAATGGAGAACCGCACTTCTCCCTGTGTGCAGGATTGTGACAGGTACCACTTATATGTAGACAATTTTTATACAAGCGTGCCACTTTTTAGACACCTTTTTGATCTTGAAATTGGCTCATGTGGCACCGTGCGACCTAATCACCGGGGCTTCCCCCAACAGCTTGTAAATACCCAACTTAGAAAGGGGGAGAAAACCTGCTTGTGAAATAATTAATTGCTTGCAGTGCATGGAAGGACAAACAGGATTTTTTCATCCTGTCTTCCCCTCACACAGACATGACAGTCCAAATTTGCACGGCAACTGGTGTTGTTGAGAAGCTCCTTTGTGTCCACGACTATAACCTTAACATGGGAGGGGGGGATTTCAATGACCAGATGATGAAGTCGTACTTAGTTTCATGTAAAACCAGACACTAGTACAAAACAGTGTCTGTATATTTATTTTAATGGGCTCTGTACAACACTTTTGTGCTTTACAAAGCAACTGGACGAAGTGGATCCTTCCTAAAATTTCAGGAAGAGATCATCATGTCCCTTTTGTATCCAGGAGGTGCTGTGGCCCAAACCCCCAACCCAGATGCAGTGAACCGGCTGTATGAGAGGCATTTTGCTGATGCCATTCCTGGTACCCCAACCCAAAAGTCACCCCAAAAAAAGATATTGTGTCTGTAGCAGACACGGAATTAGACATGACACCCATTTTATTTGTCCCTCCTGTCCTGGCCAACCTGGTTTCTGCCTCAAGGATTGCTTCCGTCGCTACCACACACTAATGGAGTATTAGTATAGGGTACAGCACAGCATAGTCTAAGGTACACATTCATGCAGGGTCCCAAAAGATGTTAGGTAGTCAGGAAACTGGCTAACGCATTTTGAGAGACCCTAAAATCACAGCCTGGAAAGTTTACAATTTTATAAGTTACAAAAAAAATAAAAATAAAAACAAAAAACCTAAAAAAGCCAAAAATAGTTGTTGTTTGTTTGAGTTAATGTTCTGTTGTTATTGTGTTTTATTGTTAACCATTATTTGCATTGCAGGAACACCATTCAGCTGCAGCACTGATCTGTTTATTCTGACAGAAGCAGGGTGTGCTTTCAGAATACATACATCAGTGATTACAGCTCTGCTGGAAAAGATTTCTCATCTGCAGTTAAAAAAAGAACATATATGCAGAAGCATGAGAGTCTGGGGTGGTCATTGGGTGGATCGCTCCTATTCTTCGCATATATATTTTCCTATTTTTTTTTGGCACAGATTTCAATAAAAAAAGTTGTTGTTTTATTGAGTTAATGTTCTGGTGTTACTGTATTTTATTGTTAATCGTTGTGTTCTTAGCAGGAGCTAATTCAGCTTCAGCACCGATCTGTTTATTCTGACAGCAACAGAATATACATCAGTGCGTGCAGTGCTGCTGGAGGAGATTTCTCATCCGCAGTTAAAAAAAAGAACGTATATGCCCAAGCATGGGGGCCTGGGGTGGTCAGTGAGTGGATCACTCCTATGCTTTAACATTTCTTTTTTTTTGAGCAGAGATTTTCTCATCCATATTAATCCATGTGAATGGAGGAATCTGTTAGTTTTTTTTTTTCCTTTTTTTTTTTCCTTTGTTTACTTTCTGAAAATAGGTCATTTGGGGGGTATTTGTACTGCCCTGGCATTTTATCACCTCAAAAAATGTGATAGGCACTCAGAAAGTAAAAGCTGTGTACTGTAAATCCCCATATCTATACCATTTTTGCTTGTAGATGCTATAACTTTCAAACAAACTGATTCATATTTTTTTTACCAAACACATGTAGTAGAATACATTTTGGCCTAAATTTATGACAAAATTTGAGTTTATTGGATATTTTTTATAAAAGAAAGTAAAAATATAGCTTTTTTCATAATTTTTGGTCTTTTTTTTGTTTATATCACAAAATATAAAAAAACCCAGTGGTGATCAAATACCACTAAAAGAAATCTCTATTTGAGTGAAAGCAATTATATAAAGTTCATTTGGGTACAGTGTTGCATGACCATACAATTACCTGTTAAAGTAGCGCAATGACAAATAGCTAAAAATGGCCTGGTCATGAAGAGGGGTAAACCTTTCAGAGTTCAAGTGGGTATTTTAGTGAAATTGCTTTTGGGGGGAACAATATACAGCACCTTTAAATTAATTTATTTAATTTGATACTGCTTTGTATAATTTTGCAGCACCATCACCACAAAACATTGCTGGAGAGTGGAAGACATGGAGAGAACCAATCCAGTAAGGGACAAGGAGTAAGTAAAAAAGCAATTTTGCATATTTTATTCCATCAAAAGAATAACTGATGCATTGTCAAGTATACAATGGCATATCTCTCAATATACAAGTTGAGATTATTCATTAGTTGATTTTTTTCACTCTCAGGCTATGTACATACAACGCATAGCACCATCTGAAGTAGAGATGCGCCAATACCGCTACCGGTACTCATACTCATGAAAATACTTCTGATACCTTAACCGATACTTTCCGGTGCGATTTGCGTTAATGGACGCAAATTTCACCACAAAGATCCGCATGCAATTTGAACAGGAATGCGACTTATGTCCAAATCGCATGCGGTTTCCCCACTGCTCCTGTGTGAACCCAGGCTTGTCATAGCCTGAGTTCACACAGGAGCGGTGCGGGAAACTTCCCTGCAGGCATCCCATGCTGAGTCTTGGTGGTATGAGAGGACAGAATGTGGCGGGGATTTGAAATCCCAGTTGCTTTCTTTCCTCTCCTTGCAGCAATGACAATTTGGGCTAGAAGGCTGCTGATTGGTCAGCACTGTCCATGTGACGGTGCTGACTAATCAACAGCCTTGTAGCCCGAACTGTCTTCGTTGCAAGGAGAAGAGAGAAAACTGCGGGGATTTCAAATCCCCAGACCTGGGAAGCAGCTTTCTCTCCTCTCCTTGCACGATGACAGTTTGGGCTAGATGGCATCTGACCAATCAAAAGTCTTCTAGCCCGAACTGTCATCACCGCAAGGAGAGAAAAGAAAGCGGAGGGGATTTCAAATCACTGCCGCTTTCTCTCCTCTCTTACCATTGAGACTCAGCATGGGATGCCTGCAAGGAGGTTTCCCACACCGCTTGTGTGTGAACTCGGGCTATGACATGTCTGAATTCACACAGGAGCAGTGGGGAAACTGCTTGCAATTTGGACAGGTATCTCATTCCTGTTCAAATCGCATGCTATTCTGTGCAATGCAATTTGCGTCCATTAATGCAACTCGCACCACAAAGTATCGGTAATCGTACTCTCTGATAAAAAAAACATTGTTGGTGCATCCCTAATCTGAAGTATAATAGTATAACAATAATAGGCACAGTAAAGGTAGCACTAAAACAATAAACAGACAGAAGGCACCACCATCTAAGTGTATCAACTTAATTAACCACTTGCCCTCCTGAGGATTTACCCCCCTTCCTGACCAAGCCATTTTATGTGTTACGGCACTGCGTTACTTTAACTGAAAATTGTGTGGTCATGCTACGCTGCACTCAAATGAAATTTAGGTCCTTTTTTCCTACAAATTGAGCTTTCTTTCAGTGGTATTTGATTACCTGTGTTGTTTTTTTTTGCACTATAAAAAAAAGACCAAAAATTTTGAGAAAAAAACAATATTTTTTACTTTTTGCTATTAAACATGTTCAATAAAATAATTTTAAAAATCAAATTTTGTCATAAATTTAGGTCAAAATGTATCCTGCTACATGTCTTTGCTAAACAAAATATCCCAATTCATGTAATAATTTAAATGTTTTAGGTGAAAGTTATGGTGTTTATAAATGGCGGTATAGATACTAGAATTTTCTTTTTTTTAATAATAATAATAATAATGGCGGCAATCAGCGACTTATAGCAGGAAGGGCGGGCATTCTGACACTGGGGGAACGGACTTCGTGTCACTGACATCCCCTCTGACACCAATACAGTTATGAATGCTAAAAAAACACTGACACTGTATTAATGCCACTGGGCAAGAAGGAGTTAACATGAGGAGCAATCAAAGGGTTAACTGTGTGCAGGGAGTGTTTTACTGGTGGACGGTGTGTGTTGGCTTTACTGTAATCACACTGCTCTGGATGGCTGTGCTGTGCACAGCCATCCAGAGCAATGTGTCCGAGCTGACAGAGAGGAGGACTGTTAGTAAACAAAGCAACCCTCCTCCCCTTCGGAGATCCTCGGTAATCACTGGGCGCCGGCAGGTAATCACCAGTTGGGACCCGGTGACAGCTGCAGCCGCTAATGGTGCGCGGGTACGGCGTCCTACCCGAAAATGCAAAATCACATATATATACAATACATTATTATATTATACAGTATTTATAAAGTGCCAACAGTTCGCTCAGCACTGTACATTACAAAGGGGGACAGAACATGCCACGGTACAGTAACAATACAATGTGATACACGAGGGGTTTGAGGGCCCTGCTCTTTTGAGCGTACAATATAGGAGGGAGGGGATAGTGGTACAAGAGGAGATAGCTGTGGGGGATGGAGTGGTAGGAAGAGTGGAGGAGGTAGGCAGATTAGCAGGGGGTGGGGTAGGCTTCCCTGAAGAGGTGGGTTTTCAGGGTGCGCCTAAAGGACAGGAGGGTAGGTGATAGTCTGATGGGTTGGGGCAGTGGGTGGGGGCAGGGAGTTCCAGAGGATGGGTGACACCCTGGAGAAATCCTGGAGGCGGGCATGGGAGGAGGAGACCAGGGAACTAGAGAGAAGGAGGTCTTGTGAGGAGTGGAGTGTGCGTGTTGGGTGGTACTTAGATATCAGGTCGGTTATGTAATATGGGGCAGTCTGGTGGACAACTTTGTACGTCACTGTTATGATTTTGAATTTGATCCATTGGGCAATCGGGAGCCAGTGGAGGGATTGGCAGAGGGGGGGGAGGCGGTGGCGGAGACGGAGCACTTGGTAAGGTGGATGAGTCTGGCTGCCGTGTTCAGGATCAACTGAAGCGGGGATAGCCTGTGGCAAGGCAGGCCAGTGAGGAGGGAGTTGCAGTAATCGAGTCGTGATATGATGAGGAGTGGATGAGCTGTTTAGTGGTTTCTGGGGTTAGGAATGTGTGGATTTTGGCAATGTTGCGGAGGTGGAGTCTGCATGAGTTTGTTAATGATTGGACTTGGGGCTGGAAGGATAGGTTGGAGTCCAGAATGACACCAAGTACTCTGGCCTGCGGGGCGGGCCTGATAGTGGCATTGTTGGACGTGATGGAGAAGTCAGTGGGGGGTGGTGTGCGGGCTGGGGGGAAGACTAGGAGCTTGGTTTTGGAGAGGTTCAGTTTAAGGAAGTGGAGCGACATCCAGTCTGATATGTCGTTCAGTAGGTTTGTGATTTTGTGCACCCCTGCCGCCCTGTAGCAGTCTGATGTGGTTAAAAACAAGTAAAGGGAAGGGTTAAAATCCACTCACAAGGATGAGAGTAAATGGGCATATCATCAGTCCTTATTCACTGGCAAGCCTCGGTGGACACCGGGTGGATGGATGGATGAGATGTATCTTTAAAAAAGCTCTGCAGGATGTTTTTGCACAGTAAAGGTAGAAACTACAAAACACTCCCTTTATCCAAAATAATAAAAACAAAGTTTTGCTTTTAGATTTATTTTAATGTGTCTGGAAGGTGTTTTTAATAACACAGAAATGTTTGAGGTCCAGGTTCACATGATGCATTGCAGTATATTGCATTGCCTTGAAAAGTTTAGCTTTACCACTGATGAAGTAAAATAATGGTTTACCATCCTCCACATGGGTCAAAGAGGATACATTGTCATAAATTGTAAAAGGTTGTGGAATTTCCGTAGGTGATGTTTTCTACAAGAAATCCTGTGCAGATGCATTTGCAAGTGTGAATGCACCCTAACTGGAATAGATGTCCTGTGGCAAATCTCTCTTCACCTTTTTTTTTTTAGGGACAACTGTAAATATTTGGATTTCCCATCACTTTTTGTCCTATTGACAATGATCAACGGGACAAATAGAGACTGAATCACTCCACTAGAAACACAGACAGCAATAAAAACTTGATATACACTCAATGGCCACTTTATCAGGTACACCTGTTCAATTACTTGGTAAAACAAATTGCTATTCGGCCAATCACATGGCAGCAACTCAGTGCATTTAGGCTTCTAGACATGGCGAAGACAGCTTGCTGAAATTCAAACATCAGAATGGGGAAGAAAGGGGATTTAAGTGACTTTGAGCATGGCATGGTTGTTGGTGCCAGACGGCTGGTGTATTTAAAAAACTGCTGCTCTACTAGGGACAGCCCATTCTTTAAGCATTTGCAGGCACACCCCCTGAAGTCTACGGGGCCAAAATGCCTGAATACGCTCAAAAAAGCCAATGTACTTTTTTGAGCGTGGGAATTAGAGCATCAGGTGATTAAGCCTACAAGTGTGAACAGAGACAATTAGAAAGAATGAGGTTCTGCTGCATGTTGAGAAAGTCAGGCATAGTCAGGTATAGGGAAGCGAGCAGAAAAATGCTCAAGTGTGAATAGAGGCTTACACCAAAACTTACTTAGTCTACCTACTAATTGTTACTCATCACGTGCTACTCATCATATACCCTTTTCTATATTTTTACAGTGCAATTAATTTGCAACATAAAACAGGATGCATAGAATTTTCTGAAGATTGCAAGGAAAAGGAAATGAGCTATTCTGAATCCCTAGAGCCATCATCAATGCAGGTACAGTAAACTGTATTCATTGCAACCATCAGAAATGTTGGGGCTCCTTACACAGCTTTAGCTCTGTTTTCTCCCAAGCCTGATCCCCAACATTCCCCAGGGCCCACCTACTGGCTGTCCCACCAAATCCACCCACTGGCCATCCCACCAAGTCCTTCAGTGCACCCACTTTTATTTTAACACTCCTAAAACTTAATAAATGAAAATGAAACTAATCCAGCAAAGAGACATCCCCATATATTCAGCAAAGAGATTGCTCCATCCAGCAAAGAGACATCCCCATATATTCAGCAGACATCCCAATCCAGCAAAGAGACATCTCAATCCAGCAAAGACGCATCCCAATCTAGCAGAGATATATCCCCTTATATTCAGCAAAGTGACATCTCCATATATTAGGCAAAGAGACAGACCGGTGTGGCTTCCAAGGTTAGGGGCCCGGAGCCTGGAACAAGCAGAGAGAGAAGGAGCCACAACAGGGATGGATGAGAGTACTGCCACCATAGCCACTATTAAACTATGCTGTTTAAGCATTTTATGCCTGTGGCCCCGGCACACAGGGTGTCCAGTGTTAAGAGGCTTTACCTCTACCATTCTGGACCATCCAACACCAGGAGAGGCTAAACCTGGGGGGGGGGGGGAGTTTCATAGGGGGGAGAACTAATCTGATCCACATCCAATACAGGTGGCCTGGCAACCAAAAAAAAAGAACATGAGAGGAAGGGAGGGCCTCATTTTCATGAGCTAGGAAAAGGTGGTACTGGGGGGGGGGTCAAGAGGAGGAGTTAACCCAAGGTGTGCTGAAGGGAGGACGGCCAGGAAATACTGTACTGACCATTTATTTTGGGGTGAAATTGAAGTGCATCATAATTAGAAATGTACAACACAGTATGTTTCCTCGTGACACTCCCCAGCTCTCTAAAAAAGAGTGGCCTAACAGTGATACCATACATGAAAACCATCCAGTCTCTCTCTACCTCCTTTAGGCCTGGTTCACACTAATGCGGCCTGCATTTGCACAGGCACAGCAGCCAATTAATTTGAATGGGCTGATGTGTGAATCCAGCCTGAAGTATGGTCTATGAAACATGCTTTGACATATGTGCAGATAATTCCTTGAAACATTTTGTCCCAAGGAGAATAAAATGCCTTTATGGATACAGATAGAGCATGCCTGCTTTTTCCCTCTCAGATTTCTTGTGATGAGCACTATTTATGTTCTGCACAGAAATCTGGTATTATTTCTAGAATAGAATGTGTCAGAAAAGTAGCAGTCTGCCTCTCTCTAATAAGAATAAAATTCTCTGTCTGAAATTGATACAATGTTTAAATCATATTATATTTCTGCAAAATTACAGTCTAATTTAATTATTTAAAGTTAAATTTGCACTCTCTGTTCCTCTGAGGTAGTGGCCTCTCCTAAAAGGGTATAGAATTTGCACTGACTTCAAGTACTTCAATTGTTTCATCTGTTGTGTGTAAAAAAAAAAATAAATAAATAATTGGTGCTTGTTCTCTAATTCTCCCGAATAGCAGACATTCTGAACAATTTTAAAGTGTTGCTAATCCCACAACAGTAAAATCAGTCTGTATATGCAGTAAAGCATGCTTGATATACTCACTATGGAACCTAAGGGGTTAATCCTCTGCACTGTGTAAAAATGCTGTTTGATCCTGACTTCTCTGATTCTCTCATTCTTCCAGTGTCGCCATCTTATCTCCTGATAAGACAAATCGTGTGGAGACACCCTGCACATGCTCAGTTTGGTGTGTATTGCTAGAGATGTTTTTTTTTCTTGGGAGAGTGCATGTGATTAGCACAGGGCCAATCAGCACTATCCAGACAGAGGTCAGGGGTTCTGCATCCTCCTAGAGCAGAAAGAAATTGCCTTCTACAAGCTTTAACCAGTGCTCGGCTGGACACTGATAGAAGTAACAAGACTGCTCTAACTGCTGATGAGAAAAGGTATTTAGCAGTTTAAATTTACTAAAATAATTGTATTTCCATGTAGTGTGTACTGTGGGAGACCAGATAGAGGGAATGCAGGGACCTGGGTTCAGTAACACTTTAAGAAGGTGTGCATAAAATCTGTAAAATGTGTCCTTCTGCACTCTATGAAAAAGGAAGACCATTTTTGGGGGGGTAAATTCCAAACTAGTTACTCTCTCCCTCATAAATTGCAACCTTCAAAAGGAAGGCTTCAAAGTTGCATTGCAAAGACGTATTCATCTTCAGCGTCCAAAATAAAGGCACTGGTTTACAATTTCCACTTGTAAAATGCCTGCTTTCTCTATACCTTCAAAATTGCAAAACTCTCAACACCACTTTGTTAGTTGTGTTGCTACGCTGTACGCTATTTTCCATCCTGAATTTAACTTTTTTATTTCCTGAGGCTAAATGCCTGCTTACTCTCTAAGAAGTTTCAGCCTGTTCAAGTCAGCTATCTAGCTGTGGTGCAAACCTGTAAGCTATTTCCATTACTGGTGTTCAAAAGGGACACAATATTTTTTTCAGAGGTTAAATGTCTGCTCATATAGCTGAAAAAAGCAATGTTCTCAGTGAGATCCCACTTGGAAGCTAAGAAAAAACAGTGCCCAGACTGATAGTGTCTCCAGCGTCACTCATGGAACAAAAAATAAAATAGGATACAGCAGGCAACTCAGTAACATCCAATGGTGGTTGTATTTATTTAGCTTGAAGATACAGTTAGTACAGCATAAGTATTTGTGCTTATGCTGTACTTATCTTTAAGCTAAATGTCTGCTAAGTCTCTTTGGAACTGTCGCCTGTTCGAAAAGGTTTTCTAACTGTGGTGCAAACCTTCATGCTATTTCCATTGTTTGTGTTTAAAAAAGACATTTTTTTTTCCAGATGTTAAATGCCTGCTCAAGTTCTCAGAAATTGTGACCTGCCCAAACAGGCTTTATAGCTGGGTTGCAAACTTGTATGCTATTTCTATTGAGAGTGCCCAAAAAAGACACAATTTTTTTTTCAGATATTAAATGCCTGTTTAATGTCTCAGAAATTGCAGCCTGTCCAAACAAGGTTTCTAGCTGTGGTGCACTTGTGTGAGATTTCCTTCTTGTTGGTGTAAGAAAAGTAAAATACTTTTTTTATATATACAATATATAGATGCCTGTTCAATTGCTCACAAATTGCAACCTTTTTGCTTATAGCTGTGCTGCAAGTGTTACATATTTTCCAAGTTTAGTCTTCCAAAGAAGGGACAAGTTTTATATTTCAAAGTGCAATCTTGAAGCCTATACAAGAAAGCCTTAAAGGGTATCCTTTGAAACTGTTCCATTTTCCATCTTCATAATTAGAAAATAGCTCTAAATGTTTTTTCTGCATGAATAGCGAAATAGCAAAAAAGCTTCCAAGAAGGCATCATATTTTTACACTTGTTTAGGAATATACACTGCTTAAAAAAATTAAAGGAACACTTTTTAATCAGAGTATAGCATCAAATAAATTAGACCAGATATTGATCTGGTCAGTTAAGTAGCAGAGGGGGTTGTGAATCAGTTTCAGATGCTATAGTGTTAATAAAATGAACACCAGGTGCACTAGATGGGCAGCAATAGATGACCCCCCCCCCAAAACAGGAATTTTACAGGTGGAGGCCACAGATATTTTTTTTTCCCTACTCATCTTATCTGACTGTTTTCACTAGTTTTGCATTTGGCTAGGGTCAGTGTCACTACTTGTAGCATAAGGTGATACTTGGACCCTACAGAGGTTGCACAGGCAGTCCAACTTCTCCAGGATGGCATATCAATACGTGCCATTGCTAGAAGGTTTGCTGTGTCTCCCAGCACAGTCTCAACAGCATGGAAGAGATTCCAGGAGACAGGCAGTTACTCTAGGAGAGCTAGACAGGGCTGTAGAAAGTCCTTAACCCATCAGCAGGACTGGTATATGCTCCTTTGTGCAAGGAGGAACAGGATGAGCACTGCCAGAGCCCTACAAAAGGACCTCCAGCAGGCCACTGGTGTGAATGTCTCTGACCAAACAATCATAAACAGACTTCATGAGGGTGGCCTGAGGGCCCAGTGTCCTCCAGTGGGCCCTATGCTCACTGCCCGGCACCACAGAGCTTGACTGGCATTTGCCATTGAACACCATAATTAGCAAGTACACCACTGGTGCCCTGTGCTTTTCATAGATGAGGGCAGGTTCACCTGAGCACATGTGACAGACGTGAAAGGGTCTGGAGAAGCCGTGGACAACATTATGCTGCCTGTAACATCATTCAGCATGACTGTTTTTGTGGGGAGTCAGTGATGGTCTTGAGAGGCATATCCATAGAGGGACGCACAGACCTCTACAGGCTAGACAATAGCACCCTGACTGCCATTAGGTATCGGGATGAAATCCTTGGACCCATTGTCAGACCCTATGCTGGTTCAGTGGGTCCTGGGTTCCTCCTGGGGCATGACAATGCCCAGCCTCATGTGCAAGAGTATGCAGGCAGTTCCTGGAGGATGAAGGAATTGATACCATTGAATGAACCCCACGCTCGCCTGACCTAAATCCAATAGAACACCTCTGGGATATCATATTTCGGTCCATCTGACGCTGCCAGGTTGCTCCCCAGACTGTCCAGGAGCTCAGTGATGCCCTGGTCCAGATCTGGGAGGAAATACCCCAGGACACCATCCATCATCTCATTAGGAGCATGCTCCAATGTTGTCAGGCATGCATACAAGCATGTGGGACCATACAAACTACTGAGTACAATTTTGAGTTGTTGAAATTAAATTTCAGCAAAATAGACTAGCCTACTGCATCTTTTTTTCACTTTGATTTTTGGGGTGATTTTGAACTGAGTCCTCTGTATGTTGATAATGTTCATTTCCATCAAGGCATGGGGCATCCTTATGGTCCTAACACATTATCCATATCAGTATATATATACAGCATGATATTTTTCCCCATTGAGATCTGATGTGTTTTCAAAGTGTTCCTTTAATATATATGTACAGTTGTGTTCAAAATAATAGCAGTCAGACATCACTAACTTGATCAATCACTGATATTTCTACATGGCAAATAATTTACTAGCAGGTGTAGTAGAGTAATAGAAATCCAACAGACCCAACAGTTATGACATGCATGCTGCTAATTCTGTGTAATTGAATCACTAATTGAAAGGGGCATGTTCAAAATAATAGCAGTGTGGAGTTCTATTAGTGAGGTCATTCATTCTTTGAAAAACAGGTAGCAATTATTGCCCTTATTTAAGGAAGGAAGGCAGCAAATGTTGTACATGCTGGTTACAGTGCATTTCTCTCTGAAATTCTGAGGAAAATGGGTCGTTCCAGACATTGTTCAGAAGAACAGCGTACCTTGATTAAAAAGTTGATTGGAGAGGTGAAAACATATAAAGAAGTGCAGAAAATGTTAGGCTGCTCAGCTAAAATGATTGCAAATGCTTTAAAATGGCAACCAAAACCTGAAAGACGTGGAAGAAAGCGAAAAACTTCCATTCAAATGGATAGAAGAATAGCCAAAATGGCAAGAACTCAGCCAACAATCAGCTCCAGGAAGATCAAAGAAGGTCTAGAGTTACCTGTGAGTACTGTTACAATTAGAAGACACCTATGTGAAGCCAAGCTATCTGCAAGAAGCCCCTGCAAAGTCCCACTGTTGAAAAAAAGACATGTGCTGAAGAGGTTACAATTTGCCAAAGAGCACATTGACTGGCCTAAAGAGAAATGGCGCAACATTTTGTAGACTGAATGAAAGTAAGATTGTTCTTTTTTGGTCTAGTGGCCGGAGACAGTTTGTCAGACGACCCCCAAACACTGAATTCAAGCCACAGTACACTGTGAAGACAGTGAAGCATGGTTGCGCAAGCATCATGATATGGGGATGTTTCTCATACTACGGTGTTGGGCCTATTTATCGCATACCAGGGATCATGGATCAGTTTGAATACATCAGAATACTTGAAGAGGTCATGCTGCCTGATGCTGAAGAGGAAATGTCCTTGAAATGGGTGTTCCAACAAGACAACGACCCCAAACACACCAGTAAATGTGCAACATCTTGGTTCCAGACCAACAAGATTGACGTTATGGAGTGGCCAGCCCAATCCCTGGATCTTAATCCAATAGAAAACTTGTGGGGTGACATCAAAAATGTAGTTTCTGAGGCAAAACCAAGAAATAGAGAAGAACTGTGGAATGTAGTCCAATCATCCTGGGCTGGAATACCTGTTCACAGGTGCCAGGAAGTTGGTTGACTCCATGCAACACAAATGTACAGCAGTTCTCAGAAACAGTGCTTATACAACTAAATATTCATTAAGTGATTCAAAGGAAAGCAAAATCTTCAAACATTTTTCAGTTTATATAGTGAATGTTTGAGTTTGTAAAGAAGAATACAAAACACTGCTAATTTTTTTGAACAGTCTAATATTCACTTTTCTTCCATTTTATTTAGAGGAACAACACAAATTCGATATATTTTTCTTCATGTTTTGATTTGGAATAGAATGTGTAGTGTTCCCAATGCATTTGTGTGTATGGAAATAAAAGCTATTAGAAGGATTTTGAGCTTTATTCACTTTTTTCAACACACACTGCTATTATTTTGAACACAACTGTATTATATATATATATATATATATATATATATATATATATAAAAAGGGGGATCAAAACTACACATCTGTACAATATTTCTGTTGCATTACTGAATACAGATCACCACAAGCCATGCTCTGTGATTTGTTTTGACCCTATGATACTGACAGCTTTTTTGTTTTCAGGTGTATAAAACACATATATAATGCTAGATTTGGCTGTCACCATCACTGGTGTGTCCTAGGGCTGAGAGACAGCACAGTATCAAGAGGAAAGAAATGTTGATATTTAAAGTGTTACTAAACCCAGGACCCTGCATCGACTATATCTGGTCTTCCACAGTACACAGAACATGGAAATGCAATTATTTTTGTAAATATAAACTGCTTAATACCTTTTCTCATCAGCAGTTAGAGCAGTCTTGTGACTTCTATCAGTGTCCAGCCAAGCACTGGTTAAAGCTTGTAGGTGTTTTCATTTTGCTCTAGGAGGATGCAGAACCCCTGACCTCTATCTGGACAGTGCTGATTGGCCCTGTGCTGACCACACGCACTCTCCCAAGAAAAAAAAAAACTTTTCTAGTAATACACATCAAACTGAGCATGTGCAGAGTGACTCCACATGATATGTCTTATCAGGAGATAAGAGGGGGACACTGGAAGAATGAGAGGATCAGAGAAGTCAGGATCAAACAGCATTTTTACACAATGCAGAGGATTAACCCCTTAGGTTCCATAGTGAGTATAACAAGCATGCTTTACTTCATATACAGACTGATTGACAGTATTAAAAAATCAGGGACAGTTAAAAAAAAGATATCCACCCTATCCCCAAAGGAATAAAGACTAGAGATGCACTTTCAACTACGAATAACTGTAGTTTCATACAACTAGTCAGTCAGTTATTAATATTGATATTACACTCCCCCCCCCCCACATACACACATAGAACATACACACACACATACAAAACATACACAGGCACACATGTTTCCCGATATTTATCTTAACCTCTTTACACTTATGCAGAAAGAAAAATATACAAGAATGCATGGTCTGTTTGTTTTTGTGTTTTTAATGTTAAGCATTACCATATCCACCAATTCTCTTTCAGGCTAGGTTCACACTAATGCGGTGCGGTACATCGCATGTAATTCGCACAGGAACCTCACCGTATTCCTGTGTAAATCACATGCGATTTGTTTGTGGTGTGATTGGAGCCATACATTATGCATGGCTCGAATCGCACCGTACCCACACCAAAAAGGTGCAGAACCCCTTTTTGGGTCCGCACTAGAATCGGATTACATGGGTATTCACATCTATGCGATCCAATTCTGCACATCGCACCACGTTTTGTGGACCACTTTTGGGGTGTTGTTAACTTAACATACACACCAGCAGCGGTTCGCATGAATGGGGTGTGCGATTCTGATGCAGTGCGGAATTTGCACAGAAAATCCTGCGAATTCCGCACCGCATCAGTGTGAACCCAGCCTCAGAACTGCACCCTTGTTTTTAAAAATAAAGATTCAAATCTCAAATAATGGTATATTTTTCTTGGACTCTATAAGGCACTTCAGTTTATCAGAACAGAACTACTGAAGACACAGAAATCCATAAGCGATCTGCAAACCGAGCGAAGGTAAGCCATTTAAAGCAATTTAAATTGTTGTCTCATCCTCATCCATTAGGTCCAATTTCCATGCTATTCTGAGCAATGCTTTATGTAATAATTGTGCTCATACAAGTGAATATCCGGAAGCCTGACTTTCATAAATGTAGGAGTCTTAATATTAAGAGGATTTTTAGAAGGGACAGGCTTTATCCCAGACTATAAGACCACAATTGCACAGTACTTCACCTTTAGCAGCCAGCTTGTGCAGCAGGTTATGGAACCTAGGCTGAGTGGCCATAGTCTTTAAGGGGTCAGGCAAAGGCTAATACAACCCCTGACAAAAAGTATGGAATCACCACATTTGGAAAATGTTCATTTAATTAATTGTGTGGGGAAAACAAACAATCACAGACATGCCTCAAAACCATTTTTATTTAACATTCCAACCTTCTGGCTTTGAGAAACACTTAAAAAAATAAAAAAGAAAGAAAACTGTAGTCAGTTGCAACTGTTTTTGCAGATCAAGCAGAGGGAAAAATATGGAATCACTCAATTCTGAGGAAAATCTTATGGAATCATGAAAAAAAAAATACTACAGTACACCACTAGTATTTTCTTGATGGCTCCATGGCAGCACAGCTGGGTGAGGCCCTGCCCACCCCCTGCCTGATCAGGACGTAACTCACCTCAGACTCAGCTTTGACCCACCTCAGCCTAGGCATTCCTTTTTCTTCCTCCTGCAATCAGGACAGGTGGCGTCTCCACTCCTAGCTGGTCTAATGGCTGGCTGTCCATCCAGAATCACTCTCAAGGTTGGACGTGGTCCCTGTACTTCTCTACTAACAGCAGTTTGACCAGGGATCCCAGCTGCTGGTCCTTGGAGTGGCATCAGGCCGTGGTAAAGTACTGCCGGTGGTCTGGGTTCCTCGGCGGCTGCTGGTAGGGGTAATCTCCTTCCTTAGTGGCTGCTGGGGGTGATGGCTGCTAACGGGAGCGGCGCTGGTCTCCCTGCTTTTTACTAGGTCAGTGTGTGCGGGCCAACATGGAGTGCATGCTGCGGCCCGCTCTGAGCATGCCGGGACTGCACAGCCAATCAGGAGGGGGGCAGGCTTAAGGCCGCAAGGTTGTGCTCTTGTGGTTCTATCTGCTGTCTTGCTCTGCCTCATGCTCTTGATTTTATATTTTTTGCAGCAGTGATAACATGCCTACCCCCTCTAAAGACCAGCGTTCTCAGGGATGGTAGGAGAGACGTCACCAGTTGCGTATATTCTTTTTGGTGTTTTCAAGTCAATTACTAATTTTGTCTTTTTTGTCTGTGCTGCCCCAGCTCCTTCAGTGTTGGTCATGATCCTTCCTGACGATCAAAAGCAAGAAGCTCAGAAAGGAGTAGGAGACAGTCATCGGCAAGGGAGTACCGACGTTCCTGGGGAAGGATTGAGACCTCGCATTCCCATTCAGTTTCTAGGGGTCTGTGCTCCCCATCACGATACAGCAGGGATTCACATTATGACCAACCCAAACCAGGAGGATCCTGGGCATGCCCTAGAAGAGCCATGCTAGGCAAGATGGCTTGTGAAACTTGCTTCAAAGAAGCAACCAAACACCAAGAGCCCGATAAGGCAGAGATGGGATCGCTAATGAAGCAGGCATTTGAGGAGATGCTAAAGGCATTTTCATCGCAGCCGTCAGCCGCTCCAGTTCCATCCACCTCATGCTCCTTGTCTCTGCATATGCCGCCAGCTAGTCAGGTGATTCCAGAGGCCCAGGAACCTTCAGCCTCAGATGCTGTGTCATCGGAGGAGGATGAGGGTCGTTTTGACGGTTTTGATTTTGCCTTGGTCCAGCCTTTTGTGAAAGAGATTAGGCATGCTCTGCTTTGGGAAGACACTGGGGAGGAACCACAGAAGAAGCAGAGGAATGTTTTTCACAAACATGAAAAAGGAGGGGGTAAATCTCCCATTCATGGAAGAAATTCAGGACGTAATTATGGATGAGTGGAACCAAGCAGATAAGAGAATCTCTTTTAAGAATTGGTTCGCAAAGCCATACCCCTTCAAGTCGGAGAGTATTACGAGTTTGGAAGAGCCTCCGGTGGTGGACGCAGCACTTATGTACCTCGCTAGACACATAACCCTTCCGCTAGATGACACAGTGACATTCAGGGGAGTGTTGGATAGAAGAGTGGATGTGAATCTTACAAAATATTTACACACTTGTTGGTGGGGCGTGTTGACCTTCTATAGCTTTGGCAGCTATTTCGAAGGCCATGGAGTCTGGGGTTCAGAAGTAAGAAGTGGCAGTGTGAAGTGACCTCGGCAAAGTTGAGGTCTTGGCCTCCTTTGCCAATTTGAAGCTAACAGCTTCTTTTATGGCAGAGGCATCCATTGACCTAGTTAAGATGTTGGCCAGGATCATGCTTAATGCAGTAACAGTCAGAAGAGCCCTATGGCTGAAGCCCTGGGTGGCGGACCCAACCTCCAAACAAGGATGGTGTGTAAGATACCATTTGAAAGGCAGTCCCTGTTTGGAAATAAATTAGACACTGCTATCACAAAAGCCACAGGGGCCAAAGTCAGGGTTTATTCCCCAGGATCAGAGGCTCCTTCGCAGAAGAGGTGCAGCTTACAAAAATTTGCCAAGGACCAGAGGTAGAGATGCTAAGGCTTTACAGGCCAGAGAGAGAATTTTGTCGTCAATGGTCTAACACGGCTGTGAACCGCAAGTCGAAGAGACCAACTTAGTCTCTGGCACAGGAGTCCCAGAAGTCTTTTTAACTATCTGCCAGCTCACACTTCTCGCATAGGAGCCAGATTATTCAAGTTCCGTTAGAGGTAAAGGAGCCTTGGGTAATTTCGACCTTTCCGGTTCGGCCATGCTTGGAAGTTCCTGAGGCATCCTTGCAGAATCCGTCTTTGTCCCGACAACATTACCTTAGGCAAGAGAAAAGCAGGATGTTTTATGGAAATTCATAGCAACCCTTCTCAACCAGGAAGTGATAGTTGCAGTACCCCGGCAAGAACGTTTTTCTGGAATCTACTCACCTCTACTCCTAGTACAGAAAAGGTATAAAGCATGGAGACCAGTGATAGACCTCAGGAAACTCAACATGTACAGTATATCAAGAACAATAGATTCAAAATGGAATCTCTCCAGACAATTCTGAAAATCATTCAGGCAGGGAGTTGGCTTCTATCAGTGGACCTCAAGGATGCGTATTTCCATGTACCAGTATCTCCAGTTTGCCAAAAATTTCTATGGTTTGCGGTATGGCAGCTCCACTTCCAGTTTGTATGTCTACCCTTTGGGCTGACCACATCACCCAAAGTATTCACGAAGATTCTTCTGGCTCTAGTGGCGTACCTGAGGTCGTAGGGAGTGTGAATATATCACTACTTGGATGACATTCTGCTTGTGAATCAAGACCTTTGCAGTGCTGCCGGTTTCCCTCCTCTCCTTCCCACTGGAAGCTGTAAGCACACAATAGGATCCTTCATGATGGAGAGTGGGGGGGAAATGTCCAATAAATATGTCACATTTACCAGCCCCTTTCTTTTCTGAAAGAACATAATTAGCGACCAGTACCAATCACTCACTGTGTTCATTCATAACTAAAGCATAATAAACTATGTTGTTTTTTTTTTGGGGGGGGGGCCCTGTCAGGTTGGCTGTATGGAGCCCCGTGGTTTCTAACAGCAGCCCTGATTGCAGTTGCCAGATCAGCTTTGCAGGTTGGAGCCTTGTCATTGACAATTTTCTTCATTTCCAAAATAGATTTTCAATTGGATTGAGGTCCAGACTATTTGCAGGCCATGCCCCTGACATTTTTGAAGGAAGAGTTTCACGGCTTTTGCCCTATGGCAAGATGTCTTATCATCCTGATAAATTATGTCATCATCACCAAACATCCTTTCAATTGATGAAAGAAGAAAAGTGGCCAAAATCTCAACATAGTATCATCAATGATTGTGGAAATTTTCATGTTTTCTTGAGCCAGTCGTCTTTATACATTTCATTGGAACAAATCCAAAAAAAAGTTCCAGGATCATCACTCTGCCCAATGCAAATTTGTGATTCATCACTGAATATCACTTTCATCCAGTCATCCACAGCCCATTATTTCTTTTCTGCCCACTGTAAACTTGTTTTTTTGTTTAAGTGTTACTGATGGTTTTCGTTTGGCTTTTCTGTATGTAAATCCCATTTCCTTTAAGCGATGTCTTACAGTTCGGTCACAGACATTGACTCCAGTTTCTGCCCATTTGTTCCTCATTTGTTTTGTTGTGCATTTTTTTATTTCAAGGCATATTGCTTTAAGTTTCTTATCTTGATGCTTTGATGTCTTCCTTGGTCTACCAGTATGCGCCCCTTTTAAAACCTTCCCATTTGATTTGTTCTTAGTCCAGATTTAGACACAGCTGACTGGGAACAACCTGCATCTTTTGCAACATTCCATGATGATTTACCTTCTTGAAGAAGTTTTATAATACTCTCCTTTGTTTCAACTGACATCTCTCATTTTGGAGCCATGATTCGTGCCAATCAGCTTGGCGCAACAGCTCACCAAGGTGTGCAAACACTCTTTTTTAACTGCAGACTAATTAGCAGATGTAATCTGATGCAGATGTTTGTTTTAGAACTTCAAAGTACATGGTGATTCCATAATATTTTCCTCAGAATTGAGTGATTCCATATTTTTTTCCTCTGCTTGATCTGCGCAAATAGTTGCAATTGACTACAGTTTTCTTTCTTTTTTTTTATTTTTTTATAAATGTTTCTAAGGGCTCTTTCACATGGACAGACCCATTTAGGGGATCCACTTGCTCAGCAGGGGATCTCTCTGCTGATCCCCACTGAGCAAGTGGATGACAACTCTGTGTACCCTCTGCTGCTGCAGAGCAGACACAGAGCTGCTCACTCTCCTTAATGGGTGGTCGGATAAAAAACAGACCACCTGTCCGTTTTCATCCGATCCAACGGACAGAAGGAGATTTGGATCCCCATCTTTCCCTTTTTGGCGGATCGGATTGGATGTCGGCGGGTGTATACGGACGCATGTCCGTTTACACCCGCCGCTCCACAGAGGAGAATGGAGGTCCAGTTGGGTCCACCTGAAAACCGGGCAGGCAGACCCGATCATAACGTTCGTGTGAAAGAGCTTTTAAAGCCAGAAGGTTGGAATGTTAAATGAAAATAGTTTGAGGCATGTCTGTGATTGTTTTTTTTTCTACACAATTAAACAATTGAATGAACGTTTTCCAAGAGTGGTAATTTCATACTTTTTGCCAGGGGATGTAGTGGTAAAGCAGTCTAAAAAAAAGAAGAAACAGAATTCCAGAAGATAATGCAAAGTATTATTGTATAACAAGCAGCAGTCAAAGCCATTCTGGCACAGATGGTGCATAGGAATGTAAAACAGTCATAGTCAAGGAAAGTACGAGAAATTGTCGCTAAGGATAATAGAAACCATACAATACAGTCAAAATTTGTAACAGAGCAGAAGTCACAAAGGGGCCAGGGTAGACAGACTTTAAGGCCTGGTTCATACCTATGCATGTTGTAATCTGCTGCAATAAAAAAGTTCCTGACCCTTACCAAAAATGCAGTGGCTGGGGCTATGGGACATGTGAACATGTCCCAAAGAAAACCATGTTAAATAGACTGTAGTGCATTTCTGCAAAATACAAAAAGCACTAAAAAAAGGCATAGGTGTAAACCAGGGCTAAGAGAGGGTAGGAAACCATTTGTAATTGCAAAAATTTGTGGACGAAGTGGTGCATTATCTGACGGAAATGCAGAGGTGCCAATATTTTTGGCTATGACTGTAAGTGGAGATAAAGTTTTCTTTATTCTGGATTATTTGTAGGACAACTGAGGTAGGTTTAAAATAACTGTGTATAAAGGCACATGCTGATATCCAACAGAAACCTCCTTTGTTGTATTTTTTCAATTATTTGGGGATTTGTTTGTCCTACTTTGTAGATGGTATGAGGGTAGTGGTCCTAACCATATTAAACTGCTTTCTTTTGGTTGCAAGGTTTTCAGGGATAGTATAGCTGCCCTTTGTTTGTAGCATGCCACTGCATTAAGATAGAAAAGAGAAAAAAATCTATGCTTGTTCCTAATATAATGTGCAACAGCTAGCACAAAACCCTGATATCAGATACTCCAACAAATATTGGAAAAGTGCAGCACATACCTATAAATATTGTGACTGACAAAACATCATCATGGAATTGTGAAAAATTACCCAACAGTAATATATACTCTATGTAAAACAACAATATTGTGCGTGAGTGCAAAGCCAGATATAATCTGATCAAAGTATATTAGTGGATCCAATACCCAATATCAATGTGCAATATATCATATACAAAAAACAACCATTGTGTACATAAAAATAAAACCAAATAAATTACCCTATCAGGGTCATAATTCATAATAATAGTTTGCAATATTGGTGTTGTAAATAATGAACATATATTTCATGCAGTTACTGTATGTAAAAAATAAATATTTATATAGAGAACGTCCATGTAAAGAAAAAGTCCCAACTCCAGAAATGAAATAGTAATCACATTCTACTTAGTCTTGTGCCAGGTATCACACTGGAATTCATTAGTGCACACCTCTCTGTGTGAGAACGAGAGGGGTTTACCAGAACGGTTTGACCCTTGGTTTAAAGAGTGCTCAAATACAGCTTTATCATAACAGCCTTGTTAGCTCCTGCTTTATCCAAAGAGCACCAGCACACCACCGCAAAGAGTACTTTAGTCCACCGTTTGAATCCGCCGTTTACAAAGGTTAAGCCATCCAGACTTAACATGCAAGAAATAGACAAGCTCTCCATTGTGTGAAATCAGCAATTCAATTTTATTAATACAAAATTACACTTACTTAGTTTAAAAGAGTAAAACAACGCTGTACATAAAAAAGCATTAATGATGCCCACATCTAATATGGCTTCCATTTGGCATGCATGCATGGTGATGTATGCCCTGGCATTTTCCAATGCGTTTCGTCAAATGTGATATCATCAGGGGCTCAGCAATGCCACTGCATTGTTTGGAAAAAAAATAAGTGCAAGAACTGTGTGCACATAAAGCAGCTCAGATTCTATTGCTCACATTCACCATACTAGCACTGCATAATAGCGCATTGTGACATACTGTTCTTACCTTTCATCAGAAGCCCTCCATGTTCATGCTGTCAGGGCTTCCATCTTCACTCAGTCTTCTTCCCCTGTTTCATAGACTCAGGTCATTTGATAGGCTGTGATGATGGCACTCCCTTGCATGCGCACAGGAGCCATGGTCATAGCACAGCTCTCTGCATTCCATGACATGCTGTTTGCCCTGAATACAGAGCATCGGAGATGTCATTAGCAATTGCCAATGTGAATATTTCCTAAACAGTGCACGTTTAGGAAATATTCATTGTACATATAGGTAAGCCTGACTGTAAGCTTACCTATAGGTACAAGTTAGGATAGAGAGTTTACTACCAATTTAAACTGTCCTACCGCTGACCATTTTTACACTGCATTATCAGCTGAGGTTTCATTTAACTCTTAGAATTAAGGCAGACACCTGCCTGTGCCTTGTATACTGTGTCTCTAGTATATTTTGGCTTAGTCTTGCTCATCAATGCTATCCTGCAGCTGGCCAACTTTACACTACTTTATCATATGCAGTCTCTTAATTTTTTAATGAAAAAATCTGCCTGTTCCCTGTGTTTCTGGTTCATTTTATTCCAGTCTTGCTTATTAAAAATCTCCTACCTCTGGCCAATTTTACAGTGTTGTATGATCTGTGGTCTCTTTTTAATGAGTGTTTGAGATCAGTTTCAGCTGCTTTGGTGTTAATGAAATGAACAACAGGTGCACTAGATGGGCAACAATGAGATGACCCCAAAACAGGAATGGTTTTACAGGTGGAGGCCACTGACATTTCTTTCCCTACTCATCTTTTTCTGACTGTTTTTCACTAGTTTTGCATTTGGCTAGAGTCAGTGTCACTACTGGTAGCATGAGGCAATACCTGGACCCTACAGAGGTTGCACAGGCAGTCCAACTCCTCCAGGATGCAACATCAATACGTGTCATTGCCAGAAGGTTTGCTGTGTCTCCCAGCACAGTCTCAAGAGCATGGAGGAGATTCCAGGAGACAAGCAGTTACTCTAAGAGAGCTGGACAGGGCCACAGAAGGTCCTTAACCCATCTATGCTCACTGCCCAGCACCATAGAGCTTGATTGGCATTTGCTGTTTAACACCATATATGTCAGGTACACCACTGGTGCCCTGTGCTTTTCACAGATAAGGGCAGGGTCAGCTGAGCAAATGTGACAGACATGAAAGGGTCTGGAGAAGCTGTGGAGAACATTATGCTGCTTGTAACATTGTTCAGCATGACAGTTTTGGTGGGAAGTCAGTGATGGTCTATGGAGGCATATCCATGGAGGGACGCACACAGGCTAGACAATGGCACCCTGAATGCCATTAGGTATCAGGATGAAATCCTTGGACCCATTGTCAGACCCTACGCTGGTGCAGTGGGTCCTGGGTTCCTCCTAGTGCATGACAATGCCTGGCCTCATGTGGCGAGAGTATGCAGGCAGTTCCTGGAGGATGAAGGAATTGATATCATTGAATGCCCCCAGCCCCCCTGGCTCGTCTGACGTAAACCCAATAGAACACTGGGATATCATATTTCGGTCCATCCGACGCTTCCAGGTTGCATCTCAGACTGTCCAGGAGCTCAGTGATACCCTGGTCCAGATCTCGGAGGGAATACCCCAGGACACCATCCGTTGTCCCATTAGGAGAATGCTCCAATGTTGTCAGGCATGCATACAAGCATGTGGGGGCCATACAAACTACTGAGTACCATTTTTAGTTGCTGCAATGAAATTTCAGCAAAATGGACTAGCCTGCTGCATCATTTTTTTTTCAGTTTGATTTTTGAGGTGTCTTTGAATTGAGTCCTCTGTAGGTTGATAATTTTAATTTCCATCAAACGATGGGGCATCTTTACATTCTTAACACATTACCCAGTCCATATCAGTATAGATATCCAGCGTGATATTTTTCCCCATTATGATCTGATGTATTTTCAAAGTGTTCCTTTAATTTTATTTGAGCAGTGTAGTTTAAACCAGTGCCTGCATTTTATCAGAAAATAAAGTTACAATTGATTTAAAAGTGAATGCACAAATCTATGGTCCTAATTTAAGTTCTACCAATTCATATCACAGCATGAGATCAAACAATAAAGTAGTCTTTAAGATTAAACAGTTTGAATTCTGATTCTTTGAACAATGCTGAGCAAAGTGTTATGTTCTGCTAATAACCTTTTTTACCCTTAGGTCACTCTGCTACTATTAATCACTGAAGCAATGAAAAATTTTCTCAGGTCATGTATCTTTTTTTTTTTTTGCGATGCAGGTTACTGAGGAAGCAATTAAGTTGCTGGAATGGCACCGTCCAAGTACTCCAAGAAACTCAAGAAGACAATCATTGCAAAATAGAAGCCCATATACGTACTTTAGCAGCCAGCAGTGACTGTCTGAGAAAAGAACTGGAAGAGTTGAGACAGAATGTTCAGGTACTGCCTAAGCACATAGTTCTTTTTTTTAGCCAGAGTTGATTAAATCTAGGTTTCTGTACGGTAAGGTAAAATATTTACACACTTAAACTTATGTCTTAAAACTAGATACAGGAAAAACATATTGATCCTATAGACAGGGTTGGGCTAAAAGAGGTTTACACTTTCCTAATGTAATCTGCAGAGCTGGTCTGTCATTTTGAAAATAATGTGATTTCCATTGTTTTGCATGGCAATGCAACAGCAGACGCAGGAAATATTGCACTAGTGTGGACAGGGCCTAAATAACATTGGTTTAACCACTCATATTAAACCACTTTGGATAATTCATACCCATAGTCGGGAAAGGCACACCCAAACAGAGAAATTAAAATCTATAGGATTCCATAAAATTGGCTGAAACCAGCTAACGTAGGTTTCAAAAAAAAATTTTTTTTAACATCTCCTGCATTAATTTCTGCCTTTCCATAAAAGAACACACATTTATCATCTCTTATTAAATCACTTTTTATGTGTAGTACAAATGGTGTAGTAGCATGTTCACTATTTCTGTATCAAACAGTAAAGAAGAAGTACAGTCAAAGCTCGTTTAGCTAAAGCCCACTGTCAGCTGAGATCACAGAGCTGGTCCAAGATCCGGCTGGAGAAAGATTGCCACTATATGGTCAGGATCCACCCAGGAGCCTGGACCAGCACTTGGCTTAGCCTCTCAGCAAGTCACTGAGAGCATGAGCCAGCCGCTCCTACACTTTCCACAGCCCAGTGCTCCAATGAGCAGAGAGCGGTGACTAACAGTCACTGCTCTCTGCTCGGAACAACTGGGAGAACTAAGGAAACAGCAGTGTCTGATTGCTCACCCTTAGAGCCGAAAGGGAACAGATGATTTTAAAAACAGTTTGTAGGATTTCAAACTTACAACTTTTAAATGATCTAACAGTGTTATTAATAGTATTCTGTAGATGAATTGGGAACTTGCTTTAAGTTCACAAGTTAATATTTGGCTTTTAAGAGGTTTTAGAAAATAGAACTACGAAAATGATCTTGCCTTTGTCTTTGCCTAAGATTTGACAGTTTGCTGATTATAGAATTGTCACTATTTAGCTTTCTATAGTCAGCACAGTTTTGTTCTCATAGTTCTAGAAGGTATTTTAAACCATATGTAGTACCCTTCTAGGTAGCTAGGGGGAGCTTGAGTTTTAATTGTTAGCTAGAGGCTAGATGGAGAAGTGAGGCTGGAGAGCAGGAGCCTGGGAGGGGACCAGATGGAGAGGGGCTCACCTACAGGCAGAGGATCTTGGAAGGAGGAAAGGATAGCCTGGGAATTCACTGGCTCCTAGAGCAAGCAGCACCTGTACAGCAGAGAAGGAGCGGACCAGCTAGAAGGCCTGGTAGTAGCCACTGAGCCACGAGCAGCATGGGAGAAGGACTGAGTGAAGACCTGCACCCCCTTGGCCAGTAAGGGGAGAGAACACATCAGTTGGAAACTGGATTAGCTTACTTCTTCTTTTAAAAGTGGCAGATACTGTCCAGGGATTCCTTCAGGCAGCTGGATAAAGGAGTATCTGGGGTTTGCGGTGATACTACAGGATACTACAGGATATGCTGGCTAGCTCTCCAAGAAGATACTTTCTGCTGTGAAGACTTGTACATAGTTCCAGGAAGTTTGTCCTCTGTTGCCATTTCCCTTGGGCATCCCATACAGCCATTACCCCATCCAAGTTCAATCCCCTAATAAAACTTCAAAATAAAGCTCATGGCCTGGTTACTGTCTCTTGGATGCAAGTCTGTATGGAAAATGTATTTTGCCTGGCTGTGCAGGACTATAAGGTGGAGCCAAAAACAAAGCGTGAATCTCTGAGGGGGATGCTACACATAATCCTCCTTAAAAATAGGGGGACCCAAATCTCTAGCGACTCCTGAGGGGGTAGTGCTACACATAGAAATTTTCAGGTTTGATAGAAGTGATGTGAAATGGAAAGGGAAAACAGAGCTCCCTTATCTATAACTTGTGTAAATCAAATCTACATTGCTACAATGTATCCTGAATGCAATATAACAAATATAAATTTTGTGTGTAACAAAAAACAAAGATTCTTCATCATCATGGATTATATGCAGCTATATGGACACCTGCAAACAAAAAAATGTTCAAGGCCAGCCCCCTATAACTTCTCTCCTAACTATCATGCTTCAGTTTTTGCTCTTTTTGCTCATTTTTTTTCCCTCTTCAATCAACATTCTCAGTACTTTCTGGATGTTTTTTTTTTAACAAGACAAGACTTTTATTAGGCTGTTTGAGCTTGTCTCTACACAACAGCTTTCAGGATTTGGTAATCCTTGGAGCTGCCTTAGAAGCCATACCTGGACCCTGCTGCACAGAAGATTGCAGAGCATACCTGTAATGTGACTGGCAAGCATCAAGGTTTGCTTGTAGCACTTCCCAGACACCTAGGGTACTAGTTTCCTAGCCATAGAGTAATTTACAGGTCCAGAGCTGTGTATCAGCCTCTACTATGAATCTGTCTCTGAAAACTCATCCTGTGAGTCAGCCAATGGATGGGACAAATATATACTGGAATGTGACCTTTTGGCACTGGGCTCTGCATTAAAGAGCTTTCGAGACTTGTGGATACTGTATCAGTTAGCCACCGAGTGGTCTTCTATTTTAAAGAGAAATGGCATGAGCTGATTAGACAATATCGACTGGTGTCATGTGCATCTGAAATAACAAATGGAATGAAATTTGGGTCTATCCATTATCCGAATCAAAAATTCAAACTACTTGGAAAATGTAATTCATTTTCCCATGGACCCAAACTACTATTGCATCATGTGACGTCATCCGCATGAAACAAATGCATTTTCCTTTTAACTTTTTTTTTGGATTTGTTGCCGTTCATTTCTGTGTCCATTCTGTGAGATTCAGATACATCCAAATTTCTGAAAAACTAATTAAAAGGACACGAATTGCACATGTCTACTGGTTTGTGGGTTCACAAGCGAGTCTTTGCCTCTACTGTATGTGGGCCAGTTGTTTGCCACAACAATCTACAGGTGAAACATTTATTTTGTAAAACATTTAATCTTTTTGCATCATCTTGGGATATATCTTGGGATGACCTGTGTGTCTCTCCTGAAGGAACCAACAAATGTAGCCAAAACTCTTTTTTTTAGGTTATAGGAATTCTCTATGGGGTTAATGTACTAAGCCCTGGTTCACAATGGATCCGACTTTGAAATTGTGTGACTTCACTTGAAGTTGCATGATTTCAAAGTTGGATGGCAGTCCGACTTCTGGTGCAATTTCAGAGACATCTGTGCAGAGCTCAAACATCTTGTTTCCAGATTCCTGCACCTAAACTTCCTAACCTAAAATCTGGGGGGCTGTGTTCCCTAATACAAGTTATTTTTCTTTGTCTCAACACAATATGCATCTGGTTAGTTCTGTACTTCCCTGGTAGATCAACTGTCACAGCAGTCTGTTCCCCAAAAAAAAGTTCCCCTAACTGCCTCTCTGTAGGTCTTAAGGTCATCATGGAATCTATATACAAAATAAAGATCATCTTCTTCTCTTTATGAGTCTAATACTTTATCTATTCAGATAGTTGTATTGTAACTATCACACTTTGGTGCAAGTTTATGGTGTGATTTGAAGGTTCTCTTTCTAATCCCTCCTGTTCTAATGTTCCTGTACATCCATTGTGCTACCATGTGTCCTCACTTAGCCTTTTCTTATATATACAGTAAAAGGATGTTGTAAATGATGATCAAATGCTGGTTTTCCAGCATGACCATTCAATAGAAGTTGTTGAACAGAGAGGAGTACACACGGACTGAAAGTTGGCCGGTTCAGCAGGAATTTTGGTATGTGTATACAAGGCTTTTGTCAGGCTTCACCCAACGGGATCTCTAGTGGTCCACGGCACGGGTTTTCCCAGGACGCGGAGTCTAAGTCCCAGTCCGCCTTTTCACCAGGGCCCCTGATGGTGGGGATGGACTTGGTGCAAGACTGAAACCAGGTCGCGTTCCTGGGCACCCCCGGCGGCGGCAGAGGGGTCCCGCTGAGGGTATGTACCCGGGTTGAGCCTGCTGTGAAGGGGACAACAGATCCCGATCCGAGCAGGATGCATGGGACGACAGATCCCGATCCGAGCGGAATGGATGGGCGACTGTCAGGAGTAGGCGAGGTCACACTAGCCGGGTCGGTATCGTGCGGGCAGCGTGGTACAGGGGGAGTAAGCGGAGAATGGTCGGGGTCACAAGCCAGGTTCAGCAGGTAGCGGGCAGTGTGGTACCGAGGGTCAGGCAGAAGGATGGTCAGGGACGAGCCGGGGTCAGAGCAGGAGAAGGTCAGCGTAAACCAGAACAGGCAGAGTTTGGCAACAAGGAAACGTACTTACAGGACAGGAAACAAGACCTTGCGGCAACTTGAGATGCACAGGGCAGCTTTAAATAGAGCGCCCTGCTCTCCCATTGGTGCGGCCGCGATCGCTACTGCGCATGCGCGGCCGCCGCCGCGATCGCCGAGGACTCTGCGCTCGCCGGCTGGGACGGATCGGCAGTCTGCGCATGCGCGCACCGCCGAGGACCCGGGATCCCTGACAGCTTTAGACCTTTCTTTCCAAGTATTCAAGGGTTTGGATTTTTCTGCTTCAACCCCCAGCTGTCCACTGGTTGATCTTTGGTTGACATTAAAGTTGTTTGTCCATTCATTTCATGAGGTCAAGGGTTGTCCTCCACAGTATTGCTGAGGCCCATCATCTTTCAAATAGCAATCTTCCTCTAATGGTGCTATTTGTAGTTCTGTGAAACACACATTCATTCTTGGGGTCTTTACTTGTTAGTAGCAATTTCCATATTTTCTCCTCCTTTTCATTTGGCATATTTTGGCCACCCCTCAGTTAGATTGCTTTTGGTTGTCTGAAAAATTTCAGAATGACTATATTCTTGTGTTCCTCAATACACGATAAAGAAAATAGGATTCTTTAATTTACCAGAACATTTTTTTCTTAATGTCAATTGAGGGATACAACTCTCACCCCTCTGTGTAAAATGGCCCTATGTAGTGCTTGCTCACAAACTGAAGCACGACAGTTTCCAACAGATGTGCCTACTAAATTAATAGGAGGCCAAGGACTCGCATGTATTATGAAGTATGCTTTCACATGCATATTCTCCTCATGGTTATATGGAAGGAAGACAACACAAAGTGTAAGGGTCCTTTAACAAGAAGCGGACCCGTTTAGCGGATCCGCTTGCTCAGCGGGGAATCTCTCCGCTGATCCCAAGTGGATGACAGCTCTGTGTCTGCTTTGCTACTGCAGAGCAGACACAGAGCTGCTCGCTCTCCTCAATGGGCAGTTGGACGAAAATGGACCTCCTCTCCATTTTCATTCAACCCGATCCGACAGACAGAAGGGGTATTGGATCCCCATCCATTCCTTTTTGGCGGATCGGATCTGATGTTGGCGGGTGTAAATGGATCTGATCAGAATGTCCATGTGAAAGAACACGAAGGCTGTTATTTATTACAAGTTAAAAATAAATTATTCTTGTAATTTGTTTTATTTACAACAACTAGAAGCAATACAACAACAGCTTTTCCACCTAAGCAAGAGATGTCCACACCCAGACTTCATCTATGTGATGATGCACTGGCTTGCTGCATTTCAGCTGTTAGGACTTTTCAAAAGATAGACATGTGTATATTATTTTCATCATGTAGATATGTACAGTATATTAACTCTTCACAGCAATAAATACATATATTCAGGCAAAATGTAATGTTTCAATAGTTCTTTGCATATTTCCTCTTCTTTAGGTAAGTAAGCTATAAAACCTACACAATTTAAATATTTTTAATATATGTTATATACTTTTTTTAGGGTATACTTTATTTCTCAAAGATAAAACAAAAAAATGGACCGAGCATTTCCTAATTCCATTCGTTCAGATGACTGTGGTTTTAATAAGACTGGGGTATCCTTCCAGAGGAGCAAGAAGAGCCGCCAGCTCAATTTAGAGAGAGAAAATGACTATCTGAAGGCCCGAAACAAACAGACACTGACACATATGAGACACTTGTGTGAGTCCATTAAGATTTCTACTAGCTATAAAGGAAATTACACCCTAGGAACTGAAATGAGGCCTGAAAAAAGTAGCTTTGCTATAAAAGACACAATAAGCAACCAACCTACACATGGTCTTCAAGAGTCATCTGTGAAGAATGAGGAAGATGAGCTCATGGAGTTAATAGAAAAACTGAAAGACGCATTATCTCTCCAAATACAGCCAGGTATTTTTAACCTCTTGTTACAGGCAGATTTTTTGTCATTTTGACATTTTGGATTCTTCTATATGGTGACAAATCTCTGCAAATATTAGACACACAAAACCATGTTGGAATGCTATGAGCACTATTACATAACTTTAAAAATCATTTTCCATGAACTTTTAATCCATGTTCTCGTGGCAGTACCAGGGGTGTGCTTAGGTGTGCTATAGCGAAACCCAAATTTCTTTAAGCAGGTTCATCCCCTGCTTCGTTAGCAAAAAAATGTCAGTAACGCTGTGCCTGCAATTGTGTTGCCTTCCTGCCCAAGAGATAATTATATTGTTGGCAGCAGCACAGGAGAGAGGAAGTTTTGCAGAACCAGGTGCTCAGGTAAGTAAAATTACCGAACACCAATGCTGAAGGTCACTTGCTCTGACAAGTACTGGATTTTAGTGCTGGGGGTTATTGCTTGCCTTGATGCTTACTAGGGGTTACTGCCAGGATTTGCCATTGCTGGCCCTTACACTTGCTGAGGATTATGGTTCTGTAGGTTTTTGTGCTGGGGGATATTGCTTGCCCTGACACTTGCTGGGGATTATTGCGGGGGGGAGAGAGTATTATTGCTGGCCATAACACTTGCTGTTGATTATCACTGGCCCTGACACTTACTGAAGGCTATTTCTGAGAGCTATTGCTAACATTGACACTTGCTGGGGTTTATAATTTCTGACATTGACACTTGCTTGGGGTTAAAATTACTGGTCCAGACACTTGCAGGGGTTTATCATTGCTGGCTCTGATATCAATGCTGTGGGTTATTATTACCATGTACGCCAACAATGGGACCTGCTTTACTACAACAATTTCTTCACTATAAATATATTGAGGTGGACTTGTGTGCTGCTATGTATAAACTATACTAGATTTATAAAGAAATAAGGAAAATGTGAAACTGCTGCACCCACTAAATAAGTGTACTCACACACTTTGGAATCATTCGGCTCATTCAGATTCATTGGGAAGAGCTGGTTGTTAAGGAATGGGCAGCAACCATGTCCATAACAACCATGACTCACCTGCTGTCAGTGGGATTCCCTTCTGTCAGCAGAGTCCCTTATGTCGTTTGCGACAAAACTCCTCCAGAACCTCCACAGTACTCCTCCAAAACATGTAGGGTGGGGCTTGATTGCGCTACACTTGTCCTCTGAGAAGGAATTGCTTTTTGCTGGTATTTAAAGTGCCATATGCATGGTTTTTATGTAAGTGCAATTTTAAACATTTTTTTACCTAATAAATACGGTGTTACGCTATGGAAGTTTTCCTTTGATGTTTTTGTGTGGTGGTGGAGGAGTACTGTGGAGGTTCTGGAGGAGTTTTGTTGCAAACGATTGATCTAGAGGTGTTTCCACTATGGAATCTGTCATCAGCCTATAGAGGTGTCAAGACCACACAGACAGCCAACTTTCCTGCAGGAGAGCGCTGCAACATCTTATGTGATATTTTGATATTTGACCTACCATTCCAGGTGGTCAATTATTTGTGGTGAGTGGGGCTCTGGAGGGGAACACTAATTGGAGCAATATGCACAGAGAATTGCTATGGATAAGAAGATGTATTACTGTATCACTCAATATTCTCTCTGGATGCGGATGGGGGCTTCTTTGGGATTTTTTGGAAACTCTCTATTGTTTTGGAACTTTTATATGTTTGCACATTATTGGGTCTTTTATATATATATATATATATATATATATATATATATATATATATAAAATATAGTTTTATACAATGGGGAGGAGGGATATAATTGCCAGCCCACGGGCATTATAGCACATGCACATTTATGGGGATTCGTTGTGTAGTAAGGAGTTCATTAATTAATTAATTAAATAATTAATTATTTAAAGTATTTTTTGGGAGAGGCAGCGCAGCACTTTTTTATGTTTAAATTTTCCTGTGTGCACGTCTGTGCCCTGTGGAAAGCCCGAAAGAACATGTAAAGCACATGGAGAGCAAGATGAATATCAAAAAGGGAACTTTATTTTGGTACAAACATCCACAGGTTTGCTGATACATACCTATGACCGATGATTTGATGAGATGTGAGTTTATCTAGTTCTACTCATCTCAGGTATCCTGGTTTGAAAATTTGGTCTGCTCCAATAATCTCATATACAGTATATGTAATTATTTATAGTTTTCCAGTAAATAATTGAGTTTTTTTTCTCTTCTAGGACATTTGCCTGAAATAAAACAGGAGTTTTTCTACACATTGCAGGGCAGGTTTGCAGATCCTACTCTGACCTTATAGGCAAAGTTATTGAACCAACTTTAAAATGATGCCAGAAGAGTTAGCGCTGAATAATTGAAAGTCATCAATTAGAATGTAACTGAGATTTTGTAAAATGCCATACGAACCATTTTGTAATTTATGGCTTTTAAAAATATACAAATGTTTCTCTTTCATATGTTGCATTCTGCAATTTTTTGTTATTAACAAATGTAGACCAAGTTATAAAAAACATTTAGCTCAATGTATTATTTGATAATTAATAAATCATTTTTAGTATCGTTAGTCTTATGTATTTGAAGTTTATTTATATTGGCATGCCAATTGCCATTTAAAAAGTCAAATTAGATTTACAGTGGTAGCCTGCTATGTAAACCAATGAGTGATAGAAGGAGGTACTTGGAGGAAAAATGTTCAGGGTGGGCAACACCAGTGTGGTGATGGTCAATACTACTGTAAAGAGTTGACAGGAGACAGGATGATCAGACAAAGATATCAGAATTAAATACCGCCAGGCCAGCTTCACGACATGACAGTTCAATATTTTTCACATCTTTTGTCTGGTAAAATACTTACTATGTGCATGCTTCAGCTGTGTATTTATTTGACTTGGGTTGTCCTTTGTGTGTTTAAATGGAATCCAAAACACTTCACAAGGTTCCATCAATAAAAGTCTACAGTTTACAGTCACATTTTCCCAGAATCCTTATCCCCATAGACTTGTAACTAGTCATCTTCCACTATTTTAATAGCATCATCAGCACCTCCCCATATACAAAGAGAATCAATGTATTTAGTACATTAAAATACCATGGCAAACTAAGTCAAAATTGTTATGTCCAGAGTAGAAGTTTGAGTTCTTGCATCTTTCTTTTTCTTTGAGGCCTCCCCCTACTGTTGCTACACTTACCTATGCAATTTTGCAGACTTTTACTTCAGGACATGATCTTATGTAGTCTTTGCAGATGACACCAAGCTTTACAGTGGAATAACGTCCTTACAGGATGTCTCCAACTTACAGAGGACAAGGGGGGCACTCTTTACATCTGGAGGAAAAGAGATTTAATCTCTAAATATGGAAAGTTTTTTTTTCACAGTAAGAGCTGTGGAATAGACTCCCTCAAGAGTTGGTTCTGGTCAGCTCAGTGGATTGCTTTAAAAAAAGGCCTGGATTTTTTCCTAGATACACACAGTATAACTGGATACTAACATTTATAGGTAAAGTTGAGCCAGGGAATATACGATTGCCTCTCGGGGTATCAGGAAGGAATTTTTTTCACTGCAAGAGCACATTGGATCATGCTTTGCTGGGTTTTTTGCCTTCCTCTGGATCAACTATGGGTATAGGATTATAACTTTTTTTTTTTTGGCTGAACTGAATGGCCTTTTGTCTTTTTTCAGCCAGACTAACTATGTAACTACATGTAACTATGTAATTTTTTTGGTGATACAATTTGGTAGTTGATAAGTTACAATTACTACATTAATGTTTAATCTTACTTACCAACGTGCTTTAGTCATTTTCTATAAACTGAAGTCCTCCACCCTGCTCTAGCTAATCATCCCAGGAATTAAAAAAACATTAATTTTTAGCTGTATTTGTGACACATCGGAACCCAAATCTTGTCTCTTCTGTACTACAGAGTGGGAAGGTCCTTCTTTGGTGGCCTGTGTCACCTGATGACATGGATACTTCTTCATGAATCCATCAGTGGGGTTCTCACAGGAACCTGAAAACCCCAGCAGCAGTATGGTGACATCATGACTGCAGCAGTGGGTCACAAGGCTTTACTTTCAGAAGAAGTGCAATGGAGGATCACAAAAATGCAGATTCAGCTAAGCTAAAAGAGGTTTAGGAAAGACTTTTTAAATGAGAAAAGGTCAGAGGGACGGAGTGGGAGATCTAAAATTTTTCAAATTTTGTTTTGAGATTAGCCTTAAGTAGGCGTGGGTCCACAGAAGACATCATGTGGCTCTTTGAAGATTAATGCAAGCTAGCTTGCTTGCCTGATCTAGTGTATGTTGCTAATATACACATTTTCATTAATGTATCCGGGATGAATCTAGCTTGTCCGATGTGGAGGTGCAGTACAAAATGTCAGTGTTCAGAGGATGGGTGGTCAATGGGGCAGTGTATGGGAAATGAGCAAGGGCAGATAATAGGGTCAGCAGTTTGTAGGGCAGTGTACAGGGGTCAGCAGGGCAGAGGACAGGGGACAGCAGGGCAGTATGCATCATCAGCAGAGCGGAGGACAGGGGTCACTAGTAAGTTATTCAGTTTTTAAAGATCAGTAGTAGATGAGGCAGGATTTAGAGGTCAGTAGTAAGCGAGGCAGAGTTCGGAGGTCAGTAGTAAGTGACACAAAGGAAAGATGTTGTCTAAATGTGGGAGGAGTTTAAATGGGAATGAATAAACAGAATCTGTGCCTAGTCACTGTATACTATGTACACATATAGCACAATCCTTGTACCCAAAAATATTCCTACTTACTATGTTACAAGTGACAGTCTCACAGATACAC